AAATAAAATATACTATAATTGTATTTTAGCCCTTTACAGGGCAGTAACCTCAAAGGTGCAACTATACCCCTAAAAGTGAGCATAGTACCATACAAGTATGCATGCTTTGCAGGGTACCTCATGAGAAATAAACATGGTGTTACATGAGTACTAAAATGTATTATTATTACCATAATAAATGTGTGGTTACTGCAGTTTTAGTACAAATACTGTGGTAAACTGTGTTTACTGTAATAAAACCATGGTTAATTTTTGTAAAAGGCTGCCAGGCTGTTGTACCCCTAAAGGTGAAACTTTAGCATATTTTTTTCTGACAGATTTATTAACAATGACAATTTATTTATATAGCACAATTAATTACAATTTCCGTCGACCAATGTGCTTTCCAGTAGGTCATTAAAAACAGAAAAACAACAAACAAACAAACAGAAAAATTATAAAATCATACAAATATCCCATCAGCCATACACTTTAAAAAATAAAAATGTCTTTCTTTAGCCTGGACTTAAAAATATTAAGAGAAGAGGCTTGTCTAATGGATAGTGGCAAGGCGTTCCGAAACCTGGGGGCAGCAATACAGAAAGCACGATCTCCCCTGCACTTAAGCCTCGACTTAGGGATAAACAATAGATCCTGGTTGGAAGACCGAAGGGATCTAGTGGACTGATACTCAGTCAATAACTCACAGAGATAAGAAGGGGCCAAACCATTTAGATATTTATAAACAAGGAGCAAAATTTTTAAATCCACTCTAAAATGAACAGGCAACCAATGTAGTGAGTGTAAAATAGGAGTAATATGCTCCCTCTTTTTAACCTCACTCAAGAGTCTAGCCGCAGCATTTTGAACAAGCTGCAAACGGGATAAAGCTGTCTGGCTAATCCCAAAATAAAGTGAGTTACAGTAGTCCAGCCTAGATGAAATAAAAACGTGAATTACTTTTTCAAAATCTTTAAAAGAAAGAAAAGGCTTAGCTTTAGAAAGCAGACGCAGCTGAAAAAAGCAAGCTTTGACAACTGAATTTATTTGACGGTCCAACTTTAAACCATCATCAAAAATGAAACCAAGGTTTTTTACCCATGATTTCAAACACAGAGACATCCCACCCAAATCCAGTTTCGGGGAATTTGAAAATTCAGACGGACTAAAAACTATCATTTCAGTTTTCTTTTCATTGAAGATTAAAAAATGTAAGGAAAGCCAAGCCTTTACATCCGCCACACATGCCATAAGAGACTCAAGACCCACATAACTGCTTTTGACAGGCAAATAAACCTGGGTGTCATCCGCATAACAGTGAAATGACAAACTATGTTTTCTAAAAATTGAGCCAAGAGGGAGCATATAGAGAGAAAAAAGCAAAGGAGCCAAAATAGAACCCTGGGGAACCCCACAGGGCAAAAAAGCATTACTCGAGTAATGTTCGCCCATCTTGACTGAAAAACTCCTTTTTGCAAAATACGATTTAAACCAATCTAGAGCGACACCTCTTAAACCAACACAATGTTCTAAACGATCAATGAGAACAGCATGATCGACTGTATCGAAAGCGGCCGTCAAATCTAATGGCGCTTTTCCACTGCGTGGTACGACTCGGCACGGCTCAGTATGGCACGGCACGGCTCGGTTTGCGTTTCCACTGCAGTTTAGTATTGTTTTAGAGTGGGCGGGATTATTCACATGTCGTTAGTTGTGCCGCCTATACTGCTGCGACTTCTGAAAAACGTTTTCATTCCGCGTCGCCCCATCAAGCTCTTGGATCCGCTGCTCCTCTGCTATCAACGAGAGGAACGTCTGTACTTCCTCAACAGACAACGAAACAGTCACTTCTTGGTTGTTAAAAAAAGTGCGCTCGTTCAAAACAGTCGCATTCGATCCTTCGCTGGCTGTGCTGATTTAAATCTAGCGGTTCTGTTGTGTTTGTGTCGCAAGTTCAGTGACGATACTCTCCGGCCAATCCTTTATCAGCAGAGTTTACACGTCACGCTTTGGTAACGGTACGGTTCACTTGGAACCTCAACCGAGGTGGTACTAAAAAAAGTACCAGGTACTGTACCCAGTGGAAAACCCCCCAAAAGTGAACCGAGCCGTACAGTGCCGTACCATGCAGTGGAAAACCTGACTGAAATGTTTCAAACATTGAATTATCAGCTAAAAAACGTTGTAACTGTGATAATTTTTTTCCAGAATCTTGGAGAAAAAAAGGCAGATTAGAAATGGGCCTAAAGGTAGTTAAAACTGATGAGTCCAGATTCACAGATTAACAGCAATTACAGAACATAACACAATCCATTTGAACTTTTAACAACCAGTTTAAATAAATATACTTGCACAAACTAGCCAATTTAAAATAAATATTACATGTACACAAAAGTTTGGGGTCAGTAAGATTTTGTAATATTTTTTTAAGTCTCATGTTCACCAAGGCTGCACTTGTTTGAAAAAAAACAAAACAACAACAACCATAAAAGCTGAAATATTGTGAAATATAACAATTAAACCTGACTGAAATGTTTCAAACATTGAATTATCAGCTAAAAAACGTTGTAACTGTGATTATTTTTTTCCAGAATCTTGGAGAAAAAAAGGCAGATTAGAAATGGGCCTAAAGGTAGTTAAAACTGATGAGTCCAGATTCACAGGATAAATAAATAAAATTAATGGTTAAAAAATGCACTTTAGAATTGATATTTTTATGTGAGGATCGATCCTTTCGATACAACATCAGTATCAAAAGTATCAATACTTAAGAATCGATCCGCTCATCCCTACTCAGAGTGACACTCAGGACTGAATGAGTGTGAGTGTCTCCAGCATGACCCAACATGCCCATCACAGCATTACACATACAACATGTGATCTACCCAACAGATAATGACTGATGGCCTGAGGAATCTAGAACAAGTAATTAAATCTGTGGCTTTGTGTTTTGTGACAGCAAAACACAAAGTTGGAAACGTTGTGCACCACATTATCAAAGGAAGCCTGGTTAACCCAGGTAGCTAGGCCTAAATGTCTGGACCACACTGATGTGTGCTGCGATGGTTCTTAAAGGGGTCCTATTATGCTTTTTCACTTTTTCAACTTTAGTTAGTCTGTAATGTTGCTGTTTGAGCATAAAAAAGATCTGCAAAGTTACAAAGCTCAAAGTCCACTTCAAAAAGAAATATTTTATTTAACAGAAATCACTTTTCAAAAACTACAACGAACGACTCGTTTGGACCACAACGCATATTTTCCGGGATTTGTAATATCACAAATATCGACGAATGGGACAAGATCTGGTTGAGCTGCACTAGAGAAGGCAACGAGTGTTATCACTATGTCACGCTAGCTTTCCCAAGGCAGACGAACTTAGAGTGGTTACAATCATCCGGGTTTAAAGGGGTCATATGATGCTGCTAAAAAGAACATTATTTTGTGTATTTGGTGTGACGCAATATTTACACTGAAGCTGGCAGGCGGCTATGGTAAGGGGCGTGACATTTCCCGACCAGGCGCCGAGTGGTGCCAATCACAACACACACTGGCCTTGCTAACCAATCACAGCACATTTCGTATTTCAGAAGGCGGGCTTTCATTTGATACAGGAACTATTCGAGCCGTTCATGCCAGACTGAGGAGAGAGGTGTTGTAATAATGTAAAATATGTGAAAAATAATGTGTTTTTCGAACAACTTAGTATGAGAGCCTGTTCTAGTACACCCCCAAAACAAAATCAAGACTTTGTAAAAGAGCATAATAGGACCCCTTTAAGACACTATTGTTAAACAAGCCTTCATTCACCCAGTTTGAAATCATATAGTGTCCGAAAAATCTATATTGGGAATACGAGTGGCCAATTTCAAATTTATCTTTAGTCTGAGACAGGTGGTATTTCTAATTTAAAGGGGAATGGGTATTCTTTTCTAAAAGCTAGCTAGCTAATGTTGCATACAAAAACTAGTTTTGTCAGTGTTTAGAATTACACTAGAATACAGATCAAATTAAATTGGTACACTAAAAATATTATTATGATTAAGCCTTTATCTGCTGTTATGTCTTAAAGTTGAAGTAACATTTATTATAAAGTTTGTTTTTTATTTAAATTCACATACATATTGAAATACAGCAGAGGTGGTCACGGTATAAATGTTTTAATTCTTCATTATGTTCATAATAACTTTTCATCAACAAAAATTTAAATTATTTCATCGTACGATTTATATATGTATAAAGAAATTGGATTGGCATGAACGTTTGTAAATGATGACTGCATTTCCATTTGGGCTAAACTATTCCCGATGTGAATCAAACTGCGTGTAACTTCCCGTTTATTTCAAGTCACACCTAACAATAGCACAACACAACCTACATTTCCATTAATCATGTAAGGAAACAGTGTTTCCATTAGTTAAAGCTGTCTTGACGTAAGATCGCTAAGATGATGACATTTTATGAGGTATGTAATCTTCAGAGAAGTGGAAAATGCAAACAAATGAAAGAAGTAGTGTCAGAGAAGTGCTCACATGAGATCAGGTCTGTGTTTGTGGATGATGGCACAGAAGGCCAGTCCATCTCTGAAGGATGAAGACATGTTTGTAATGTCCACATTACTGTAATTTTCACACTGGTTCCTGCACCACTCCTGCAAAGCTTTCAGAGAGCCCATGGTCGAGATTCTAAAATCCACACCTATAGCCTGATCCTGCAATACACACGAAGACCCAAAAGTTCATGAGAGACCCTCTTCCACATGTCTCTGTCCGGTACAGTTAGATCCTGCCGTATGAATTTTAAACGATCCCATTCGATCAAAGTAAGCAGTACGGATTTGACCCATAGGATTTGACCGTAGGCTACTCCAAAGAAGAAGAAAAAAATCAGCACACACGAACGGAGTCAAATTCCAACTTCAGTTACAGGCTTGAATGTCCGTCTTTTAAAATGAGACATCAATGATACTCCGATTTGCGGCATTCAATTTCAAAAACGATACATAGTCAAACGCAGTATATTACAGGCCTAACAGTTAATATTATTTTAAGCGTTGCGTGTACTGACGAATTTGGTGGACAGACGCGTCTAGACGCCTACAACCAAGAAAGAATTTCCTTGCCAAAATAAAAGTCATGTCCAAAATGAATACAAAACAAACCTTGCAAAACGATTTTATTCATTTGTATAGTCTGGATTGACGGGTGTTTTTATTAATGTTTTTTTATTATGATGATTATTATTTACACAGAATAATATGATATAATCGTTTTATCCAGACGTTCATTCTTAAACTATGTCCCATCAAAAACTAATTTTAATACAGATTTTTTTTTTTTTTACCGTGCTGGAATGAAATGAACAAAACATTTTAATACAAATTGAATGCAAATTATTTATATATTATTAAACGATAAAATTATAAAATGTCGTTTAAAAAACAATATTTTATACCAAAACCAACAAAACCAACATTTTTTTCCTAGAAGGGATTTTTTCAAAGGTTATAACTTATTTATTGTTTACCAGACAGTTATCTTATAGATCAGTGGTTCAAACCCGTTTACTCATTCACTTATCTCTGCATAGTGTACGGCTGTTGTGGGGCAAGGAATGAAGTGAGCGAATGCGGCGGCCGCTGACTCGAGAGCTGGAGCTGGCGCAGAAATAACTGAATGTACACCACCCAGTGGCAAAAAGCCTAAAGGAGCCGTGTTTAAAATGTATTTTATTTGAGTAATACCATTACATTAAAGTATATCAATTGCCTACATAATTTATTTATATTGTATCACTTTTCATTTTAAAAAATGGATTCAACACCTAGACTAATTTATAAATCGATTAATATAATTATAACAGCAGCAGCAGCAGCAGCAGCAACAACAACAACAATAAATTGTTTGTTGTTGTTGTTGTTATAGACAAGTTTAATTTTATAGGCTAGCACATTTCATATTCACAGTGCTTTACATATAATTAGGCTACATCAAAAATAAAAATTACAAGTAATAAATAAAAAGTATTAAAATAAATAAGAAGGAAAAGAAAATAGTAAAGAAATAAATTGATACAGTAGGATGCAGCACAGCATAGGCTACACAGCTCCCAGTTAGTAAATGCAGCTATGAAGGTGTTAAGGTATTAAGGTGAACCCTTGGCATTTCTGACTTGATCATCCTAATGATGAGTGGTCTGTTAGGTCTATATTCAGTGAGCAGATCTGCAGTTTATTTAGTTCATAGGCCACTGAGTGATTTATAAACAAGTAAGAGTACTTTAACTGGAAGCCAGTGTAAAGACCTGAGGGCTGGAGTGAAATGCTCAGATTTTTTGGTTCTGTTCAGAATCCTCTATAAGCTGCTGGTATGTCAATGCAGAAAGTACTCTTACTGATACTGTACTGTTTCTACCAGGGTTTTGCTATCAGTTGCCTCAGAAGGGTCTGCAAATATGCTTGTTGTCAAAGATATAGCCTTCATAAATAACACTTTAGTGTTAGGAATTACGTACCTTTTTGACAGAGACAGATCTACTACTTTATATACTCTCACTGTCCACTTTGTTAAGACTTCTGATTAAAAGGCTGTACACTAACAGAGTGGACATTCTGGCCTAAAGTCAGCCATTACACCATGTCTGAGCAAAAAATAAGGTAACATAAAAGGTTGATCAAATAAAGAGCTGCATGGTTTTTAACAATTTAATTAAAAAAATATGATTTCTTACTGACTTTTTCCTTTTTTTGGAAAAATGGAAAGATAAAATTGATAAAATAGGTAGAAGGCTTAGTTGGGGACGCACGCTTTACTGATTGCACAGACACTATTGGAATTAAGCTGAACTGGATGATGACATCACTGAATCATCAATGTACTGACTTTAGCTGGAAAAATGACTCTGTCATTGTCTTCTTGCATTATTGACAAATTATTTTCCTGTTTGACACTGTGATGTCTTTCCTGAGTAGAGGTGTGACCTCGGCATCCTGGCCAAATTCGCCCATTGGCCTCTGTCCATCATGGCCTCCTAACAATCCCCATATCTACTGATTGGCTTCATCACTCTGTCTACTCTCAACCAATAAGCTGGTGTGTGGTGGGCGTTCTGGCGCACTATGGCTGCCGTCGCATCATCCAGGTGGATGCTGCACACTGGTGTTGGACGAGGAGATTCCCCCCTCACAATGTAGATAGCTTTGAGTGCTTAGAAAAGCGCTATATAAATGTAATGAATTATTATTATTATTATTATTATTATTAACTTGAAAGACATAAGAACCATTAGTATAATTGTTACATAAAATTTAATAATTGAAACATAATTTATACATTAGAGAAGAGTTAATTAAATACCCATCAATGTCAAAAAAAAAATCACTCATAAGTGTTGTATTTATCATGAAAATGAGATACAATCCGGGGACATAGGAAAAATGGTGATATTAGCTGAACTGGATGATGACATCACTGAATCATCAATGTACTGACTTTAGCTGGAAAAATGACTCTGTCATTGTCTTCTTGCATTATTGACAAATTATTTTCCTGTTTGACACTGTAAAGCTGCTTTGACACAACCAGTATTGCATAAAGCGCTATACAAATAAAGGTGACTTCACTAGAAAAATAGAAATACGATCTTTCAGCTTTCATTTGAAGTGGACAACAACTTCCAGCAGCCATATCGCCCTGCAGCCCAAGACTGGTTGCCCACTGAAGCTTAGCAGGGTTGAGCCTGGTCAGTACCTGGATGGGAGACCTCCTGGGAAAACTAGGTTGCTGCTGGAAGAGGTGTTAGTGAGGCCAGCAGGGGGTGTTCACCCTGTGGTCTGTGTGGGTCCTAACGCCCCAGTGCAGTGACGGGGACACTATACTGTCAAAAAGCACCGTCCTTCAGATGAGACATTAAACCGAGGTCCTGGCACTATGGCTGCCGTCGCATCATCCAGGTGGATGCTGCACACTGGTGTTGGACGAGGAGATTCCCCCCTCACAATGTAGATAGCTTTGAGTGCTTAGAAAAGCGCTATATAAATGTAATGAATTATTATTATTATTATTATTATTATTAACTTGAAAGACATAAGAACCATTAGTATAATTGTTACATAAAATTTAATAATTGAAACATAATCTATACATTAGAGAAGAGTTAATTAAATACCCATCAATGTCAAAAAAAAAATCACTCATAAGTGTTGTATTTATCATGAAAATGAGATACAATCCGGGGACATAGGAAAAATGGTGATATTTGGTGGTTTAAAATGAGGTAAAATGTTTAAAATTATTTTATAATAAACTTCAATATGTTCAATAAGTTAAATTGTTGTTGAATTAGTTAATTACAGACTGATATCAAATCTCCTTTTTCTGTCAAAAATACTAAAAAAGGCAGTATCCTCTCGGCTATGTTCCTACTTAGAGAGAAATTGTATCTGTGATGATTTCCAGTCAGGATTTAGACAGTATCATAGTACTGAGACTGCTCTCATCGGCGTTACAAATGACCTGCTCTTATCATCCAGTCATGGTTGTATTTCTCTATTAGGGCTACTGGATCTTAGCGCTGCATTTGACACTATCGACCACAACATTCTTCTGAGTAGACTACAAAATTATGTTGGAATTAGTGGAAGTGCATTGGCATGGTTCAAATCTTACTTATCTGACTATCATCAATTTGTAGCAGTGATTGAAGAGGTATCATATTGATCACAAGTAGAGTATGGAGTACCACAAGTCTTAGTACTAGGGCCGCTGCTTTTCACGCTTTACATGTTACCCTTGGGAGATGTCATCAGGAAACATGGTGTTAGCTTTCACTGTTATGCTGATGATACTCAGCTCTATATTTCTTCGAGGCCCGACAAAACATACCAATTCGCAAAACTAATGGAATGCATAGTTGACATAAAAACTGGATGACTAGTAATTTCCTATTGCTAAATTCTAAAAAAACACAGGTATTAATTATTGGACCAAAAACCTCTGCATGTAATAACCTAACCTGTTTTCACTGTCTAACACTTCATGGCTGCTCTGTTAATTCTTCGACATAAGGTAGGAACCTAGGTGTGCTGTTTGATAGCAATCTTTCCTTTGAAAACCATGTTACTAGCATTTGTAAAACTGTATTTTTCCATCTTAAAAATATATCTAAATTACAACCTATGCTCTCAATGTAAAATGCAGAAATGTTAATTCATGCATTCATGACCTCAAGTTTAGATGATTGTAATGCTTTATTGGGCTCTGTGCTCTTAATAAACAAACTCCAGCTGGTCCAAAATGCAGCAGATAGAGTTCTTACTATAACCAGGAAGTATGACCATATTAGCCAGGTTCTGTCAACTCTGCACTGGCTCCCTATTGAACATCGTATACATTTTAAAATCTTGCTAATTTCTTATAAAGCCCTGAATGGTTTAGCTCCTCAGTACTTGAGCGAGCTCATATCACATTATAGTCCTTCATGTCCGCTGCATTCTCAAAACACTGGCCATTTGATAATACCTAGAATATCAAAATCAACTGTGGACGGCAGATACTTTTCCTATTTAGCGCCCAAACTCTTGAATTATCTACCTAACGTTGTTCGGGAGGCAGACACACTCTGTCATTTTAAATCTAGATTAAAGATCCATTTCTTTAACCTGGCATACACATAACACACTATCACATTTCTATAATTCAAATCCATTAAATGATTGTAAGGCTGCATTAATTAGGTCAACTGGACCCGGGAACACTTCTCATAACACCCGATGTACTCGTTACATCATAAGAAGAATGGTATACGCTAATATTAGTCTGTTTCATTCTGATTCTGAAGTCACTGTAGCCACCCAGATCCAGTCCGTATCCAGTCCAGATGGTTGATCAGCACCGAGAGACGACCTCTACAGCCCTGAATGTCAGTGGAGACCATGTCAACTAGATGCGCCCCAGAGACAGATCCCCTGCGAAGACCTCGTCAACTAGACAGCCATCGGGACAAGACCACGGGAACCAGACAAGTCCTCTGCACAATCTGATCTGTGTTGCAGCCTGGAATTAAACCATGCCATACTGGTTTCATCTGGCCAGAGGAGAACTGGCTCCCCGACTGAGCCTGGTTTCTCCCAAGGTTTTTTTCTCCATTTCTGTCACTGATGGAGTTTTGGTTCCTTGCCACTGCCACTTATGCCTTTGGCTTGCTTAGTTGGGGATGCTTAATTTCTGGCGATATTGTCAGCTTGATCGCACAGACACTGTTGGAAGAGAGCTGAACTGGATGATGACGACATCACTGTATCATCAATGAAGTGACTTTAACTGAAAAATTGACTGTTTGTTATTGTCCTCTTGCATTATTGACAAACTATTTTCTTGTTTGACACTGTAAAGCTGCTTTGACACAGTCTGTATTGTATTAAGCGCTAATAAAAAAAATTACGAGTAAGACACCTTTAAAATCTATATTGTTCTGCATTTTAAGGCAGTGAGATCATGATCTTTACTGGGGATACAAAGGGCACCAAATACTAAAAAAAAGTATAATGAATCAACACTAGAGAGAGGATAATACAGTTTCAGTGAAATAAGTGCTACAATAGTTTCAATTAGAGTTTCAATTTGACATTTGGCAAGGAAGGAACCAAAACTCCTCCAGGACGATAGTAGTGATGAAAAAAAAATACTTGAGAGGAACCAGTCTTCACCGGTGGTGGGTATTTAATACAATTGCTCCTCCCTTTCTTCTACATTCTGTATACCATCTGCATTTCTAACACATTCCACACTGAAAACAAATTATTTAAACTTCCCAAGGTCCTAAAAAACCTCCACCAGCAGATACTAGAACGGTGGCTATTATAGATACTGTAAAGTAGGTGCCCTTAGGCTGTAAATATTAAAAAATGGCACCAGTCTATTCTAAATAGGGTTTTATATACAGTATAAGAACATCTCAACTGTTGTCACAGCCTATAAAAGAAGGGACCTGACAGTCAGTGTTCAGAAGGTCATTTGTCAATGGCACGCAAGACCACCATCTTCACAACATTATTTTTGGCTTGTAGGTGGGGGAGCAATGATGTTGGCTGGGTGCTAGAAAATGTCTTGTATAAATTGTTAGAAAGATTCATTCACAAATTCGTTTATTATCAACACAAGTCTAACATCTTCCCCCTTGAACAAGGCCTTTTTTACCATTTCATCTGTCTTTACAACTGTCGCCTCCTTGAAACATACAGAACATACACATGTGATTCAAATAACCAACCACTAGAAGGTGACACTGGCACATTTAACAAATGTGGTACACTTAGTTATTTATTAATTTTTTAAGTATTAGAGGACCAAATCTCACATTATTACTAGGAGAAATTTTTGTTTAATTATTATTTTACTTAAAATTAGCACATTTTAAGCCCTTCAAATAATTTTGGTTTGTCCCACCTCATCTTGACCTTTTTGACTGTATCCAACAATTAAAGTCATACAATAAATAATGTTAAACTGATATATTTTATTCAATATATTCAAAAATTTGGCAAAGGTTATAGTATTGGCTGTTACTCCATTTTTGTTGTATGTAGCCTATGTGTATGTATGTACATATGCAAAAAAAAAAAAAAAAAAAACCCACTGAATATAAATTCATTGGTTTTTTGCCTGTGCTAGAGTTTTTGTTTGCTCAGGAGATTTGTCTTTTTTTATCTATATGACTTGCCAAAAGTGCACTATTATAAACTCTTTGAAAAGTGTATGAAAAGTGTATTTGTGAATGTAGCTCTTTGTGAAGATAACTCCAGCCTATTAAATAACTGGTGTCTTTACACATATAACGAGGGATGATAAAATACTGACACTGTACCTCATAAAATACGGCATAATAACACAATGGCCAGAATTAATTGGCAAATTGTATTAAAGATGCACTCAGTAACTGTCATGTTGGTCTGCATTTCTCATAAACAATCGTAAACCACAGTAGATTGTAGAGACCATTGGTGCGGTGCCAGTGGTTTCTATGATCTTTGTAGGATTACGATGCTTTCAGGAAACAGGCATTGCTATTATGTTCATCTTGGACTTATATAACTAGTGGTGTGGATGCAGCCTTATATGAAAGCTAAACATTTTAGTTGTCAATGCCATCGCAGAACATAGTTATTTATTCTGCAAGTGTCCAGTGACAGTCGTGTTATACGTTTTTATTTTATTTAATTTTATTTTTCTGTCACTTTTTTATTTACAATTCAGTCTGGTAGATTATGGGTACTTCAGAAACACTGCTTCAGCTTCCCAAACGATTTTTTTTTTCAATTTAGAATATTTAAATACGACACATACCGACTAAGTTAAAAAAAAAAAAAAAAAAATCACATTTCTTTCGACACTCCGCACTCCTGTCCAGTTGGTGGCGGTAATGAATGAATAGCTGGTTTGCCAACCGCCAAACAAACGCCATACAAAGAAAGAAGATTTTCAGCTAGCTGTACGGGTTGTAGTTATCACATTCACAGTGAATTCTTCCTATTATAAGCAGTAATAATGTCTGAGGACAGAGCTGAACGATCAGATGGACGGATAGTGAAGATGGAGGTTGACTACAGTGCTACTGTAGATCAGCGTCTGCCTGAGTGTGAGAAAATGGCCAGAGTAAGTGTGAATGAGCGGCTGAGTCATGCTGCGTGCTAAAGCTAACGTTAATCAAATAATTCCAGAATTAAACTATATAAATGATTTACTTATTATAAATCTCTCTAACGCGTTTAATTAAAAAAAAGTTTTATTACGCAGACATAAACCTCTCGGGAAACTGCTGTCTAAGTAGACATTTGACTTTCTAGCCATAGATACTTCACCATTCATATTTCATCTCTGATAAACAATTCCAGATAAATGCACAGTGATTTGAGCTCTAGCTTTAACATGCGACAGAAAAGAAAAAAAAAAAACATAATATTCTGTTTTTGCTTTTAAGGATGGCAGACTACAGGAGGCCATCGAGAGTCTACTGTCACTAGAGAAGCAAACAAGAACTGTAAGTGTCTCACTTTGATCATGTCACCTGTTTAATGATAGGTTTAATTTATTAGCTCTTAAAATGCTCTGCATTATTTGCATGTGTCACTTCTGTCCAGGTTTCAGACATGGTGTCCACCTCCAGGATCTTGGTGGCTATAGTTCAGTTATGCTATGAAGCTAAAGACTGGGATGCCTTGAATGAAAACATCATGCTACTGTCTAAGAGAAGAAGCCAGTTGAAGCAGGTAGGAATACTGTTTTAAGCACATCATGGAGCCAGTAATTGAGCTCATGATGCCTAATAAAAATATACATCGACCACCTGAACCAGCCTGTCAGTTTAAAAACACTTCTACATAATGTATTGGAGAATATGCAGAGATAATAAATAATAAATGAAAGTAATGGCAAAGACCAGTACAGCAGTTTTGTAAAAAAGCTCTAACAACTAATGTAACCATATCTCTTTGGACGATACAGTGTGCTAACATGTTTTATATTATATTGTATTTTATTTTTAGAAACATATTTTTATATATAGTTATATTAATGTTACATTTATATATGAAATATTAAAACAATAGCTGGACATTTTTGGTGAAGTGATGCAGTGAAGATGAAGATTATGAAGAACACATTAAATCCAGATCATTAGTGACTTTCAGTGGTAATTTTCAGCCCATTTCCTCTTAGGGGTGGGCGCTATAGCGATATGAAAGTGACTACTTTCGGTATTATGTTTTTCCATGATATGGATTTTGCTATACCGTGGATACCGTTATATATTCATGAATTCAAATTTTGCATTTATATAGTTTTGTTCAATTCGGTACGCTTTGCAAATTTTAACACAAATTACGATAAAGAGTCGAGGCTGATCGTTTTTGTGCTCTGTGTGCAACGCCGTACTACACAGGCATTAGTAATCAAACACATAGAGCATCGTAACAGACCAAATTAATAGAGCACAAATCGCCTATTCCAGTGGTTCCCAAACTGGGGGGCGCGGAGCTATGACAAGGGGGGCACGGCAAGGCTGAGGGATAGTGTACAGTCAGCAGATTATTTTTTAAAAGAAACCTCTGCAGGGTGATAAAGACTAGGCTACACTACGTAATTTTCCCGCTTATCATGCGGCCACTTGTCTGATAAGTAAATAGAGCGCAATATATTAATTTGACATATTTTAATTACCTCAACATGACTCGCAGTACCTGCTTGAGTGCTCCGTTGTAGCAATTGTGGTTGTATCAATAACAGACCACTAGATGGCGAGATTGAAGAATCAGAGTTGTATTGCAGGCAGCCATGTAGAAATATAAATGAACGATGTATGGTTCTGCTCTAAGCATAAAAGTTACCAGTTTGTGAAAGTACTTCTAGTGCCAGGTAAACGTAAAGCAGATTATGAATATACTTAAGATTCACAAATACCAAAACAATGTCTCTACACCAGACGCGAGCGGCGCGACGTGACGAAAGCAAATAGAACCCAGATACAAAACAAACCCAGAACAAACCCAGATAACCCCGCCCTCGGGAAAAGGCAGCAAAGGGGGCGAGGCCATGCTGCGCTGCTTTAGAGAAGAGGAAGAGAAAACTAGAGGTGCATGTAAAAATCTATTCATATATGAATCGCGATTCTGTCTTTAATGATTCTAATGGATTCACAAGTTTCAAAATCTATGTTCTTGTGTGAAAAAGAATGCGTTTTTTAAAAAACGAAGCATTAACACGTTAGACAGCACCCCATAAACACAATCAAGCCTAGAAAAAAAACAGTGAACCACCCCTTCAAGCAGCACAAATGTTTACAACATTGATAATAATCAGAAATGGCTACTGAGCAGCATTCTGAGGGAGGGGCTTCATAAAAGAAGGAAATGATCAGCGCATTTATGGGAGAAGGGACCAGCGGTGTGGAATAAAGGTAAATTGTGTGAAAAAGAATGCGTTTTTTAAAAAACGAAGCATTAAAAAGACTTTTCAGGTCTATGTCCAATCCCTCACTTTTTCTAGTTATATAAAGTTAAAATATTTTTCCTGTAATTTTTTTTCTCATATCGCAATATAATATCGATATCGTCTGGACAGTGTAAAATATCGTGATATGAATTTTAGATCATATTGCCCACCCCTATTTCCTCTGATGCTTCCAAGAATATCAAGTCATTCTTGCCATTATTCTTGTCACTTGCAATAGTTGGTTAAATGAGAAAAGCAACAAGTAAAAATTATTGATCTCTAATTTTTTTTATGTCTTTTTTATCATTGGTTTCCGAGAATGAAATAGGTGGTTCTAACATAAAAATAAATTTTCCTTTACAGGCTGTTACAAAGATGGTACAGGAATGTTATACATATGTTGATGCTATGAGTGACCTGTCAATCAAACTCCGACTCATTGACACGCTACGCACCGTCACTGCTGGAAAGGTCTCCACTTGCACTCTTTTTAGCTTAATCTGTTTACCAGATCTATTTCTTATGAGCTCGCTCATTCTTCTGATGCAATAATCAGCTTTACACTTTATTTACACGTTGCATATCAATGTTTTTGTAGATATATGTGGAGATTGAGCGTGCTAGGCTGACTAAAACATTGGCCCAAATCAAAGAGCAAAATGGAGATGTGAAAGAGGCTGCATCCATTCTGCAGGAACTGCAGGTGAGTGTTAACGAGAGATTTGCTCATCTGCCTCGTCATTGTGCTCTTAAGACCTATTCAAATTAAATGTGAATATTCATTATGAACATTTCTGATGTTCTTTTTCAGGTTTAATATTTTTCATCTAATATTTATATTTTATTTCATTTCAACTATATCGATTTAAAAATGATTTTGAATAGTTTTAGCTTTAATTAACGATAACGTGTTTAACAGATCAGACCCCAAAATTTCACAAACCACATGAAAGTGTATAAATAATATAAGGAAATGTAAAAATAATATTATAATTTTCCCTGATGCTTTATGAACTCAAATTCAAAAGTGTGTGTTAATGCTTTCTTTTTAAGTATTTTTTAAGTACTTCTATTTTATTTATAATAATTTGTCATTTTTCTTCATGTAAAATATTTAATGTATTTGTGTAACATAAAATCTTGGAGCGTATAAACAAAAAAAAGCAATGAGTTAAATTTTTTTTATTTTATTGTTTATCACATTTACTGATGAACAAGAGCGTGCCTGATATTTGAAATGTCGTCAAAAATAAACATAAGTTAATCATTATGTAATCTTGGCATGTAATCATTGTTAATGTTAAAAAGTGTAAAAACCTTTTACTGTCTCAGCCTGAGTGAAAGTGCATTCACACTTGGTTTGAATAGACATTTCTCAACAATCTAACTCTCTGCAGGTGGAGACATATGGATCAATGGAGAAGAAGGAGAAGGCGGAGTTCATTCTGGAGCAGATGAGGCTGTGCATTGCTGTCAAGGACTACATTCGAACACAGATCATTAGCAAAAAGATCAACACTAAATTCTTCCAGGAGGAGGGCTCTGAGGTTGTCATTCACTTTCTGAAGAAACTTCTGTTCTAGTCTTCTATTTTTTCTGATTTCTTGTCAGTTTATAATCTTTGTGGGAGGTGTGTTCAGTTTTTCCGTTTATATAACCATTTGATTTTTCTTTAATTCTTAGGATTTGAAACTGAAATATTATAATCTGATGATTCAAGTTGATCAGCACGAGGGCTCCTACCTGTCCATATGTAAACATTACAGAGCCATATATGACACTCCCTGTATCCTGGAAGATGCCTCCAAATGGCAGCAGGTACCTTTTTATTTGCATTGTAATTCTTGTCTTGCTTATTCTGTTTAGATTTGCTGTTTACCTTAGTAATACAAAGAAACATTGTCACATTTGCAATTTAGTGCTTTTTAAAACTGACGATGTCTCTTGTATCTTTCAGGCTCTGAAGAGTGTGGTGCTCTATGTGATTTTGGCACCCTATGACAATGAACAGTCTGATTTAGTTCATAGAATCAGCATTGACAAGAAACTGGAGGAAATACCCAAATACAGGTAAGCGGGCCAAAACATACTGGGAGTTTCTGCAAGAGTTCAGGGATGCTGCTGGTTAATTGCTGAGTCGCATACATGTTAGGTAGAAGAATATATCCCTCTCTTGCAGGGATCTCCTGAAACAATTCACAACCATGGAGCTGATGCGCTGGTCATCTGTGGTGGAGGATTATGGAAAGGAACTGAGGGAGGGTTCCATGGAAACTCCGGACACTGATGTCTTCACCTACTCAGAAGAAGGAGAAAAGAGATGGAAAGATCTGAAAAACAGAGTGGTAGAACATGTGAGTTGGTCTTATTTTTGCTGAAGTGGGAAGCCTAATTGTTTTTATCTGTGTTTAGCCTGTCACTCTTTTAAAAGAATAATTCACACCCAAATCTAAATGTTTATCTAATCTAATTATTATTGTTGTTTAAAACCCATGACTTCCATGGGACACAAATGGATGATTATAAGTGTTCTACTGGTTGCTCTTGTCAATGCATTCACAAAGAAAACTGAGGCTTTCAAGCTTCAGTATAGACACAAAGTTTCATAAATTTGGAATAATGGACACTATATAAATCTTCTAAAGACATGCATCAAAATACTGGGATTTAGAATAATATTATTACTTTAAGGTCTTTATTTCAATGTACCGTATTGTCCCGAATATAAGACGATATTTTTTTCTTGGAAATACAACTGAAAAAATGCGGTCGTCTTATATTCAGGGTCTAGACTTTGACATGTCAATAATACACCCACAACACTAGGTGGCGCCAAATACGCATAAAACGAGCCCCCCCCCCCCCCCCTTTTCACCTTGAAACATTTGATTAAACGAATGTTAAGTAAACTTTTGTTGTTAATGCTTCTGTTTAAATTCTGTTATTGACAACGATGTGGCCTGCACTCAGACTGAGAACAATGTTAGTCTGTGGTTTCCATGACGAGTTTTACACTGCACTTAAGATTTTCTTGTATGTTTTGTGTTTGTGACCTCTGGCTGTAGTTGATGTCCAGAAAAAAATCACTCTAAACTCCACATGAAGCCTCCCAACGTCAGTGACACCCCACCCCCCTTTGTATTAAGTAAATGCCTTGTATTACATTTAAACATTATAGGAAAAAATAATCATAATAATATTGGTATTCAGATGTTGCTCCAGCATCCACATTAAAATTTTTTGGAAATAATTCTGGGTTTGTTAATTTGCCATTCAGGGAAATTACAGGCAACATGTGCGGTTTGTTTATTATTATTATTATTATGGCAAATGATACTTTCTTGATTTACTTGATATAACTTTTGAATTAGATTGTTTAAGCCATACAAATACATCTGCATCGTTTAAATTGGAAGGTTCAGTTTACATGGTTATAAAAATAAAACCTAAAAAAAAAAAGTTCTGTATTGTTATTTTTAAATTCTGTATGGGTCATCTAAAAAATTATAGGGATAAGATGGTCCCTACTGGGAGAAGAAGCCCTCCTGGATAAACATTTACATAACGTATAAATGACTTTTAGTTTTTATTATTCAATAATAATAATATATGTATATATATATATATATATATAAAGTTCCGTTAATGTAAAATACTAAATCAACTATTCTGTTTATTTCTTTCTTTTTTTACATTTATTTACACAATTTAGTGAAACAACCCGCGTTCATTTGTGCGGATGAAACGAAAAAAGTTTGACTTGTGTGCTCGTCATGCGTGGCTGAATTTAGACGCGCAACAGAGGTATGAAATGTACTGTGAAGTTGTCTTGATGCGCTCAGTTCAGTATAGTCTACGGTGTGATCGTGGAGTTCAGATTGTTTTGACGAGCCTGGGCGCGTTCGCAGCGATAAGCCTGATAACTGTCGCGATCGGAACCGATTACTGGCTCTACTCTAGTCTAGAGCACAGTGTAACACGACCAGCAACGCAACAGATGAAACCCACACCTTGCAGCAGCCAAAGAAAATACGAGGAGATCTCACGCATTCTGGACTTTGGAGGATCTGCTGTATCGAAGGTAAATGGGTGCGGTCTGAATTTTAATAGTTGCAAATAAGAATAAAAGTTGTAATTTCTATAACAGTGAAGTGGTCTTATTTAACGCATTTAAAATGCATAAAAAGTTTAAGAGACATCCTGTTAATCAAGAAGGAAGAATGCATTGAATTAAAATTTAAGAGACCTCCTTTTAATAATCCTTTTAAAACATTGACAAACAAATTCTGAGGAACAGTTTTGACAATGGATTTCACACACACAAAATATGGGATGTTTATTTGAGATATAATAATTAATTCTGTCCTTAGACGTGACTTTAAAGAAAATCACTGAGAGAGTAGATAATGAAAGATGGATGAAAATGGAAACAAGAAAATACCTGTGGCATAGATATTTAACAACATTTCATCTATATTTACATAAAATAATATTAATATTAATTAAGATTAAATAAAAGATTATTATAAATTAAGATATATTTTAGTGTAAGGTCACACAAAAGAAATATCAAAATGAGAAATACACAAATACCCAAAGGAGAAGTATAGGCAGACCTAGGTTCTGAATATTCCTTCTGAAAAGCGGGTCAAAAAATTAAATAAAAATTGGAATTGTGTTTATCTTGTAAAGTAATGCAATCTTTAAATGAAATAAACTGGTGTGAAGCAGTTCCATCGGAGCTTGATAGATGCATTAAACAAATTTTACTGCTTTTGGGACAAACAGTGCATCAGGGTTTCATACCGTGTCAGATTTTATTTTATTTTATTTTTTTACAGGAAATGTATATGAATATATAGAAGAGTGTAGAACCTTTTGATGTACAGTAAACACTGTAACTGAAACAGTTTCATTTAATACAATTCAGCATCACCTATGTTTGGCACAGGGATCAACAATGGGAGCTGCTATTGGATCAATCATTTTCTGTGGATAATGACTATGACACAGACAGCTTGGAGTTTCTCCTCCGTGAGTTCTTTTTTAAATTTTTATTTTATAGTCAAAGAACAGTTCAAAGTGGTATTCCACCACTGGCGTGTATGAAGAACTAAAGAAGAATTAAAGTAGTTTTATTTTTTTTTACTGTATGGACCATTTGTTTCAACATGATGTGTAATAATGTTGGCCAGTGTATGTGTATAATAGAATAATGGTTGCCTAAGGTGCCTTTGTGTGTTGCAGGAATAGTGTGGGCATCCAGTCTCTTCCTCATCCTGAGTACCATACTGCTTCTCTTGGGGTGACTTTGTGTCGGGCTGGGCCAGATTTACAGCAGCAGAAATAACATTCTTCTGAGTGCAGGAATCCTATTTGTATCGGCAGGTACAGCACATGCCATTAACAGTAACCTTAGCATTCAGCTAGTTCTAGTGTTTCAGAAGAGAATCACTGAGGAGTCTCCATTTGCAAATCATAAGTTTAATAATTATAGCATATAAATGTATTTTTAATTAAAAACAGCATGATTGCCATACATGCATTGCATGGAATTAAAGAAACAAGAAATGACAATGATATATTTTTTAAGATGTATTTTGTCAGCTTGAGTTTTAATGAATTTTGCTAATTTAATTTTCTGCATATATGTTCTGCAAAAATATCTTTGAAATAATGAATATCTATAACATGCATTTCTCAACTTGATTAATTGATTAATGATGTGTTCAATCAACTTAAAAACCCATTATGTTTGTGTGACATTAATTCACTTATTTTTTTTTTTTAAACCTTTCATCAGGCCTTAGCAATACAATCGGCATCATTGTTTACATCTAGTAATGCTGGAGACCCTAGTGACAAGAAAGGAGAAGATAAGAAAAACCTGTCTGAGGAGTCTCCATTTGCAAATCATAAGTTTAATAATTATAGCATATAAATGTATTTTTAATTAAAAACAGCATGATTGCCATACATGCATTGCATGGAATTAAAGAAACAAGAAATGACAATGATATATTTTTTAAGATGTATTTTGTCAGCTTGAGTTTTAATGAATTTTGCTAATTTAATTTTCTGCATATATGTTCTGCAAAAATATCTTTGAAATAATGAATATCTATAACATGCATTTCTCAACTTGATTAATTGATTAATGATGTGTTCAATCAACTTAAAAACCCATTATGTTTGTGTGACATTAATTCACTTAAATAGCTAATTTTACAATGAAAAAAAAAAACAATGTTGCATGATTGAAGCAGACATTATCAAAGAGCATTCTATGAGAATGTCCTGATTCTCAACTTGGAATTAAGAAAACATTCAGTCATGACTTGTCAACTAATTAGAAGCTTATATATATATATATATATATATATACTAGTGACAAGAAAGGAGAAGATAAGAAAAACCTGTACAGCTATGGATTGTCCTTCTACTCCGGCATACTCTCCTTCATCGTGGCGGAGGCCATTGGTGTGTTGGCAGTCAACATCTACATTGAAAAGTACAAAGAGGTTCATTTCAAACGCTTTGAGTTTATTAAAACTGCCACCTCCCCCTTAGCCTCCTCCTATACGAGCATTCCAAATTACCATTACAGACAACAGTTCCAGTCCTATTCTCAGTCCACAGAGCCATCTAAAAACACGTCCTCTGCCACACTTAGCGCCACCAGCTCCTCACTGCCTTTGGGGGACATTTCAATGTATACGGTGGGGAAAGAACATCCACTAAAGGTAGGTGCTCTGGCTGCCAATAACACTGATCTTGAACATACCAACTTCCTGCAAGTTCACAATCGTGTCTCTAAAGATGTGAAGGACAGTTTAAATCGCAGGATCACTCCTGTGTAAAAATACATACATGATGCATTTATAATTATTTACAGTTTAACTCAATCACTTTGGCTCAGTTGTTAAAGGGGTCATATGATGCTTATTTAAAGATCATTATTTTGTGTATTTGGTGTAACAGAATATGTTGACATGCTTTAATGTTCAAAAAACACATTATTTTTCAAATACTGTACATTATTGTAGGTCCTCTATGCCCCGCCTCTCTCAAAC